TGGCTCATCAAGTACGAACGGAGCGACGTCGAACATGGAGACGCGGTGAGTCTGGGCGTTTGACCAAAGGCCACAACCTTTTGACAAAATGCATGAACATATGATGACGCTGTTACGTTTTTCAGAACCAAGAATGGTCCAGTGTGAAGATGCCCTCGATTAAGATCGCCGCCATCGACAACGGTCTTGCGTTCCCGTTCAAACACCCGGATGAGTGGAGAGCGTGTAATTTCGTGACTCTATCTGTTAACCATCTAATCAGCTAATTTGATTTGATTTGCGTTATGCTCATTTCTCGAAAGGGATGTTAATTAAGGCTTCCTGCAAAATTATGCTTCATGAATGATCAGCCAATGAAACTAGGGCGTAATGTTACGTGAAGAGATAACTGATTTAGCGACCAAGAGTTGTGCTGTCTATCGTAAACGGTGGGGTATGTTCCTTCACACAGAAAATCCACTAAACGTGTTTAAGACCAACCAAACCACCGTAACCACCGTTTTTGTGCAGATTCATTATTCACAGCTGCGATGGTTTGCGTCCGTCATTAGAATACTTTGAATAGGCAAGACGACCCTACCTGCCTGATCTATTGGCAAACCTCAGAACTGAGGTTATCTTCCCTCAAAGTTTAAACGCTGGCACAGGATCGGGAACCTTGGAAACACTGATTTACGTGTGTGACTTATCGACCCAAAAGCATATGCGCTAATCGGAAAGACTGACTGAACTTTGTTTTAAAGTGAAGTCGGTTTTCGTACTGATGGCACAGTGGCAAGGCGTCGGATTTGATCTCGGAACACGCAGAGTTCATATTCGGAGTAGGCGCGAACTTTTTCTTATCCGTGAATCCCCTGGAGCAGCGAATTCACCTTACATTGCTTCAGTTCAGTCAGCGTAGAAACGGGTTGCAAGTAATTGATGTACAGTAATTCGGGCAGCGTACCGTTCTTGTACTTTCATGCCAGAACGGGTGAGACGTACGACCATATCGTCAAACACGAGCTCCTCATAAGGATGCAATTCACTTTAACCCACTTGAAATCTGTTTCACTCTAATCTGATAATTGGCAGAAAGTGTAAATCCTGTTGTTGTTGTAACCCCATAGCAACTGTATTAGCTTTAAGCAGGTGTGATATTACACACTCATTGTGAAACGACGGTTAAAATGTATAAAAACACGATTTATTTGTACAATAATTTGTTACTCGTCTTCACGGGACTTCTTCAAGGTGGGCAGCGTTAATTTCCGCGTTCGTTTTGTGTTCCACAGCAGTTGCAGCGTTGGTTGGGGGTGGAGGTTGCGGCATCTCACTGATGAAATAATCTCTGGATAAAACGTTTGTTGTGCGATTATAACGTACGTGAGTAAAATTAGTATCTGTCGTTGGCCTATTTATGTTATCACCAATTGTAGAATTTGTTTCCTTTAAATTAAGTTAGGCATCCTAATTTATTATTCTATAAATCATGATCTGTGAAAAACATTTTACGGAATAAATGTGAACAGACGATCGCTGGAAGAAGTAAATGATTTACTAATTTGTTAATGCTCACGTATTCTTGCAGTTCTTCACTTGGTCATTAGAAGACTCATTCGTTAAATATTCGGATCGAAAAATTGTCCCTCAATGCATGCTTAAAGAAAATGAACCACTGTTATAATTTCCATAAATGTTGCACCATTGAATATTTAACTGAATGCGCGACATGATAGTTGAAGGGGACTACAAGAAATCTTGAAAAAATACGCTTACAAAGTGTTGCTGTCTATTTTGTTTGTTACCTCTATTTTACCACTATGTTACCTTCGCTGAACATTATTTATCTTGAAGAAGGAACAGCATTGCGGGTTCCGAAAGTTTCACATATTTTTTTGCTGCCTCTAACCCTCTCTTTCTTTGCCCATAAATCACCAGAAGTGATCAATGTTTAGCTGAATAAAGTATGTAAGTCGAATATGATTTCACTTGGAATCAGACAGTTGATTGTTTCTTTATTCATACATTATCCAACGGAGTGAACCATCTAATTTTTATTTACAGTTCATAGGAAATTTAATTTCTAGTTAAATAGTAAATTCTGTTCATTTGTTGTTTCAGTTGAATATCCTTCATCATCATCACCGTCTGTGACCACTTCTCCTTTTGGGTCTAGGAGTTAAACACGCCGGATAAGGTTTCCAAACTTTACGATCCTGTGCCAAAGTCTCAGCTTCGGTAGAAGACTCCTTCCGTATATTTGCACCAGGCAGATATTGGCCGTCCCCTGGGCCTTCTACCGGTCAGCTTGGCAAGAAATAGTTGCTTCGCCTTCCGTTCTGAAGACGTTCGCAGAACATGCCCAAGCCATCGCAGCTGTGACTTCTCAGTCTGGAGAAGTAAAGGCTGTATACTAAGGCTCTTCCAGATATCAGTATTCCGGAGCATGTCCAGACGCGTAAGGCCAACGATTCGTCTAAGAAAGCCCATTTTAGCAGCTTCCACCCGGGTTTGAGGCTTTTCAGTGATGGTCCACGGTTCATGACCGTAGGTAGGCATGGGGATAAACATCGACTTGAATACCGACAGCTTAGTTTTCAGACTGAGCTCTGCTTTAGTCACATTGGATCGTGCTAGTTCATGCAGAATGCGGCTGGCTACTCCAGTTCGCCGGTCGATCTCTTCCTCCATTTTTCCATCACTAGTATATACAGCTCCGAGGTACTTGAACTTCTCCACCTGCTCCACCGCCTCTCCGTTATTCTGAAGAGAGCAAAGGGCAGGAGAACGAGAAAGCACTAGGCTTTTCGTTTTAGATGCATTCACACGCATGCCTGTCACCTCGCGAACCTTTTTAGGGAGCACTGAAGATCAGTTTCAGAAGATGCTAATAAAACAAGGTCGTCTGCAAACAGCAGCCTTCTCGTCTTCATTATTCCTACACCGATATGCTCATCGCCTTGGCTGCTTCAGACTATTCTATCCATGTACAGCCCAAATAGGTTGGTG